GGCTAAAGCTTTCTGTTCAAATTCTTCCATAAATATATTTGCCAAAACCGGGGATATTGGAGATCCCATTGCTAGACCTTGTTCTTGAGTATACACCACTGAGTCAAATTGATTGTCAATTTGATTGACAATTGATTGAGTCAATTGATTGACAGTCCAATTGATTGAAAACACCTGACCGATTCTTTTGAGGACGACTCCAACAGTCCATCTTCGGTGCCCGGGGCGATAGTCCCTGACAAGCACACGGTTGCCAGACCGGAATGTTGGCTTCCCTCCTGTCGGTGTTGGAAAAAATGTAAGTGTTGGTAGGATAACGTCATGGGCAAGTCTCAACCGTCTGTTCATCATAACCTCTGCTGGAGAGCGACCGTCCGGAGACTGTGGATTAGGAGTTGCTCTATAGTCCAGCAGGAACGTATCCAGAAATTCTGTCGTGGTCCCCTCCCCTTCTGCTTTGGCCAACGCACGTTTAAAGGTGTCAACGAACCGTTCAGCTTGACCGTTTGATTGGGGATGGAATGGTGGAGAAGTAACATATGTGTGATGCCGTGTCTTCGAACGAATTCGCTAAACTGATGAGATGTAAACTGAATACCATTGTCGGACACAATTGTTTCCGGGATACCGAATATTGAAAATAAATGTCGCAGTTTAGTGATGGTTGCCATCGTTGTTGTCTCCGACATAATGAAGACTTCAGGCCACTTACTAAATGCATCGACAACGATGAGGAAGCTTTGTCCGTTAATTGGTCCGGCAAAATCCACATGGATTCGCGACCATGGTTCTTCTGGCTGTGGCCAAGGCTGAGGTGACTGTCAGTTGAGTAACTTCTGGGCAGCTTCGCAACGGAAACAACTTCGACATAACTGCTCAATGTGCTCATCCATACCGGGCCAGTAGACAGCTGCGAGCAAGAGCCTTCATGCAGTTTATCCCTGCATGTCCACTGTGGAACTGTGCTAGGACCCGTTGACGAAGTTCAGTGGGAATGACAATTCGGTCACCAAAGATAAGACAGCCATTGACAACAGATAGTGAACTCCGTCGCTGAAAAAGTTTCCGGAGTTCCCCTGGTGGACTGGTTGTTGGTCAGCTTGATTGGTGGTACTTCATCGCCATTTGTAATATGCTGTCATTTTTGGTGGCATCTTGCACCGCGTCAAAAGTCACGGGTAGTTGGTTCATGGTCTCCAACACCACAGCACGGACTTCCGGTCCTGATTGGCTGCGTTTGCTTCGTGACCTCTGGGTTTGACCGCGTCTTTGGCTAGCTTTCCTCGTCCGGCACTGGCTTTCCTTGTGCCCACGTCGATTGCACACTGAACATTTGTGCTTTTTGTACGGACACAATCGCACAAAATGCCATTCGCCGCATTGCCAGCATGCTGAATAAGGTTTTCCTCCTTTCGAATTTGTCACCACGGGAGGGTGCTTCGATGTCGTCTTGGCAATGTTGAACGCAGGGTTGGATAAGGGCTTCTCCAACATGGCCGTGTCATGCTTAAGATTTAAAAGGCGCTGGCACTCATGGGTAATTGACTGCAGCGTTATCTCGGGAGTTTGTTCAATCTTACTCAACAGTCTCGCCCTGATATCACTGTCTGAATGCGATTGAAGACCACATATGAAAATAAGGCACTTGAACTGGTCTTCCGTCATGGTAGATAACTTGAATTGTTCGCATTCAAGGTTGACTCTACCGGCATAAGTGATATAGTCCTCAGACTCTGTTTTCGCCAGTTTCATACATTGGTAGCGAATATTGAACAAGGGCGAAAGCTCACCGAAAATCATTGAAAGTTGCTGCTGCGAGAGCGCGAGTGCGTGCGAGTGCGAAAAGTACAACGGCCTCAAGCTTTTTATTGGAAGGACACTGTCTGAACTTGGTCCAATGCTGACGCCCACGGTCTGGCTGCGACGTGCTGCATATTGAGGGGGCGTTGTCTATCTGGTTAACACCTAGCGGACCTGAGAGTCTCGGTAGATTTCGGGCGTTCAGTGGTTGCTTTCAGGAAGCTGACCTTCCTAATACTGACGAAACAAACAATTGTTTAATTGTTTAGACTTTCCACTCAGCGGGGAGGGGAGGCGAGATCCACATTGGAAAGTTCACCCATCTGCTGGTTTCTTCGCATCGGGTTTCCTGTCGCTAAACTTAGACGACTACGGCTTCTCAGCTCTGCGGGGAGGCGAGATCCACATTGGAAAGTTCACCCATCTGCTGGTTTCTTCGCATCGGGTTTCCTGTCGCTAAACTTAGACGAACTAGCTACGGCTTCCTCTTGTTCCGTAGCCGCCATGCAGCCGCAAAAATGGTCGAGTGTTGGAACGCCGTCCGTTTGCCCAAGCGTGCAAAGAAGCGCTCGAAATGCCAGGTGTTAGAACTAACCCGACTGGCATACCGTCTTAAGTTTAACCTTACCTCTATCACCTCCAAGCCATCGGATTATCACTACTCTAACGCCGGAAACACAAGATCTATTCCTACTCACACCAGTAACTCCCACGGCACATCGTTACCAAGAAAGCACATCTAATTGGCTGAGGGGTCGCGGTGCGTCAGATTGGGAAAGACATCTCATATGTACGCCCCTGGTAGACACCTCATACAGACTGAAAGTTTCCCTCGTTTCTTTGAACTTTGACGGTATGTGTTGGAAACGTTCGCAGACTGCGGAGTTCACTTCTCATTTCGTGTCTAGAGTTTGATTCTTGACCACAACGGGTGGTTCTAGTTCCGGTACCAGGCGGCGGGTGGGGGACCGTTGTACTTGACGGAGTTTGCTTACTTTGGGTAACGACTTATATTCTGTTTGGCTTGATTTCATTCACTGTGAATCAACTTTCTAAAATCCCTGCCTGCTAGCCTACACACTATACGTTATTGTTTTCAAACAGATAGTGTGCATCTTTTTGGCACTCGTAGTCTGTTGAAGCAGATTATTCTGTCGACTACAAAGCCTCACTTCGTTCGCCTCTATTTATGGACTGTTCCCCACTTGTCCGTGTTGGCAGATTTAGAAACACTGCCTCTGGATTGGTTTGTCTTGTGCCTTACCCCCACTTAGCTCGGTCTGACCTAGAACCTGGACTCCAACCGTGTGTGTGTGTGTGTGTTCACACCGTAGCAGATCTCCCGCTTGACTTGTTTAAATCACTTGAGGTAAGCAAGCAATAGTCAAGCGGTTTATAGCCCATGGGAAGCGAGGACAGCCGGTATTTGGTCCGTTATTTTATTGATGATGGATTGGAATGGAGTTGCAACATGTGCGTGTCTGGTTTCCAAACGAATTAACTTAAGGGTGAGTGTTTTGGTTTGGCTGATGACCATTCTGGATCCGTCGGCAAGAAAGTAGCAAGCAAGGGAAATCACATGCGGTCGAAACGGCATGTGAGTGCAGATGGGATTAGCTTCCGACCACTTTTCCCCTCTTAGTGGAAACCATGGGCAGCTGTGTGAAAATACGCGTGCATCGGGGTTCGAGCCATAGAATACCAGACGGACGCTTCAATAATTCAGTCATTATACACCATGGGGCGAGATGGTCCAAGTGGTTAGAGTGCGAATTGACTGACCGGTATGTCTGTGGTTCGACCCCAACCTCTGCCTCTCGACTTCCCCTGTCTAGACTTGGGCAACCTGGCAATATCCCAGCCCTCGTGCAACCTTCAAGTGGCATGGCAGTTAGGCACCGGAAGGGTGCTACAGCTGAACGATACTACCATGTCAATGTGATTGTGCGTATGTATAAACGAAGAGGCATATGTGATTCCAGCATTGTGTCAGTTTCAGATTTCATCTACATTAAAACCACACTTCCAACTGGCCCCCGGTCTATTACAACCATACGTTTGCAATGTAACTCGCTTCTTCTTTTCCGTATCTTCCTACCATTTGGTTTGAAAAGAGGTCTATTGTAGCCTCCACCCTAGCTCACGATAGCTCAGTGTTTAAGGCGCGAACTTACTTACCGAAAGGTTTGTGTTTCGAACCCAACATCTGAATGTTGACTGCCCCTGTCTGGGCGGGGGCAACCTGGCAGTATCCCAGTCCTCGTGGTGGTCTAGTAACTAGGTGTCAAAAGGGTGTTACAGCTGGACTATTCTCTGTCGCTTAGTCCCGGTGTCGTTGGAGGGAAATGGAAGATTCAGTGGATCTGGCACTGCAATTGGTTCGGACATGCGAGTTGTGCTGGACGATTCTTTCATCTTGGTAGTTATCTCTCTCCAAATTCTCATCCCTGTACGATCGAGTTCATTCATCGTTGGTCAAAGAGTCCCGGTTCCGTCTTAAAAAAGTCCGCACAACAGGCCTTCACACCAGGTCTCTGATGTGACGAAACAAAGATCGCGCACCAAAATGCTAACATACGCACTCCACTCAGATATCCATGATTCCATTCCTCAAAATGTTGTCCATAGGCAGGCGCATTTGCCCACGAAAGTGTTCTTGCCATCTGGTTTGTTAGGTGAACGTAAGTAAACTGTTTGTTACTGATGGGCCCAATACAAATCTCACTAAAACATTCATGGTTGCACTTCGGCCCATCGGAATAGTAACCAAGTTTGCTCAAAGCACTCATTTGCAAACACTCTACAACTGTTTCATCCCCATTCGGAGTAATCAGCCGTGAGCATCTCACGAAACTCTAGTTAGAAGTCCCGTCCCTCTAGCCAGTAGTTTGAGCACGTAGCCGTTTGTCACAATGTGCATCTCAACTCCCCGGCTCATTAGTGCGAGTTTTCATATGGAATTTTTTTCACTTTGATGCTCTAATAAACATTTCCGCCACGTAATCTCATCGATCATCGGTCGTTCACACATCATCAGACCATTCCAAATCGGAGTTTGAATCCACATGATTTCAGCGATTTGGTGTATGCTTTTGACTGCTGCTGAGGCTACGGACTGTGCGGGTGAGCACATTTGCATAATCCAGTTTGTACTCACAAACTTTTCCCCCGCCATCGGATTACCGGAACCCAGTTTGCTTGTTTATCCTTGTTGTCGTTCGCGCTACTGACGTCAATTTTGACAAATTCCCTGGTTGTCATGAGGCCGGAACTGCCAATTTTTGAACACGCATCTGCCGGGCATGCTTCGGTGTCCAATGTCCATGGCGATCCGACCACCTTAAGCGACACTGACACTTGTCCTTGAATAGCTTGTTTTCTGCATACCGCCCAATCAAACAACTTTCCAAAAAGTGACCTTTGGTAACATCATCTGTGATATGCCAAGAGTGTGTTGTGGAGCGAATTTGGCGGTTTTCGGTGACAGATAATTACCATAGGCCTCATCCTTCCGATATCGCTGGATACGATACCGCTCATCCAGACTCTCTGTACCGTGCAGTCGTGGATAAGGCTTCTTGGAGCCTCACCAACAATGAGCAGGAAATGCGTCGTCCAGTTTTTTGAATCTCTACGCTTCTCAAAACTGTCATTAACTGCCCCCTTCTGAGAATAGATTAATGTGACTTTGTCCAATTGGCCTAGTTTAGTATCAGTTTAGTATCAGCCGGAAGTGTAGCGCTGAGCTTGCTTGTAACATCTGCCGCAGTTTCCCCGATGATTTGAACACTACCTCCTTACTTTTAAAGCTCTCTGCTCACAGTCTTCAGTGTGCAGTGCTTTTGTTGATCCGTTTTACACTGCAATTGAAGCCAAATAACATTGCCCATGATTTCGCCCATTTTGTTTGGCCCTCCTTCAGGTCATCCGTTACGACATTGCCAGCTGGCCGTCTTAATGTGGGCCGATTTCGGTGCCCCGCACTCTCTTTCCTCTGTCCGCTAAAATGAGGACAAGTCGGAGAGTGTAGTTAATTGTGGGATTGTAGAATTTTTGTTCACACCACTGTCACCTGAGCAGTCCTTGTTCTGTTCACACCACAGCAGGGCAACAGTGGACTCGATTTTTGCTTTTATTAGAGCTTATCAGTGGTGCATACATTCGGTCTTTGTAGAGACTCAAATTGCGGACATCTGATCTTTTTGACAAGCATGTGACCATCGTCTCATCGGTCGTTGGGCCGACCAGTCGCATCTCCCAAGCGTAAATACGTTCTGTCTAGACACGATGGTCCCTGGTACACCGTGGGGTGTTGTAACCTTATATTGATTGACCAGAAACTGTGCGGGTGTTCAAGGTTGCATACGTAAGGAATCTGATTTATAAACGGATTTGCTTAAATACTACGAATAAATCTCGAATATACCAAGAACATCCCGGTTTTCAACAAATAAAATCAGCGTAATACTTGTGGATTCTGACAAAGCTCAGCTCAAAATGACTGCGTCCGACGCTTTCCATAAATGGAAGTGAATCTTCGACCGCTACACTCATTTGCATGTTTTGATGGAAGATCCACTTGGAATCCGGCTGAATCTCTCGTTTTTCATGTTCTGAGTAGTGTATCACGTTTGCAATATCTGGAATATCGTACCAACTGAAACATGAGGCGGCTTGTTGAAGCACGACCAGTGTATTATGTCAATAAAAGGGAATAAATCTTTCCAGCAACCGGGCTGGTAGCGGGGCTTATATTCTATGACCTACTGCCAATGTAACTTTCAAAGGCACACACGAAGCGTTCGGTTATTTCCTTCACTTTTTTATGTGGTAATAGAATGGGATAGCATTCCACGCAGGTTGTCCTCGTCGTTACTAACGTTTGACAGGATATCCTTAACCGACACATCTTACTCAGTTCTGGCCTCCACGTCAACATTAGCAAACTCCTCAAGTGTTACAGCAAAACGTCCAAGATCATATGCATGGAGGCGTTTGGTCTTCTTTTTAATAAACAACTAATGTAGACAAACACTGGACCATAGAAACTTACAAAATCGGACAGCTTGTTGAAGGCCTCTTACCTGTAGGTTGAGGGATATCAGCCGAATCGAATAACTTTTCAAGAAGACAGCCTTCGGTGGTGTAGCGTTTGAAGCAAAGTACTGTGCTGGCAGCACGTGGTTGAAGCGAAGCGCTAGTAGTTTGTACTTGGCAACCAGCGATGGTACAAGTCGCCAAGGCGACAAGCGTAGAAGAAAACCTATGAACCTATTTGTCCCTGGCATGGGCCATCTCCAGTCGCTCTCGGACGCTTTGAAGTGTCTACTCTAAAGCACTACTTTGTCGCAGTGTAGGTAATGACGCGACCAACATTCCAACAATAGTATGGCTGTATTGTGTTTATTGTAATCCTAGTGTGGGTGAATGCATTAACTTTCTATCGATCTACGGATGTATAGTAGATTTATCCCCATATGGTTAGTGCGCAAAAATTTACTGACCAGAAAATCCGGGGTTCGAACCCGGCTCCTGCATCTCGACTTCTTTGTAGGATTGGAGAACCTGGTAGTATCTCGGAAGGGTGTTACAGATGAACGATGATGACCCTCGTGTAGCACGACATCTATGCTTGTGGCTCAAGCTGACCATATTCGTTTACCATATATCGATTCACCTCGTTGTATATGCTTACTGTATACGTATGTGCCACGTTTCTTCGTGATCGTAAATCGAACAGTAACTGTAAGTGAAATGGCGAAATGAAGCTTGTATGTGAATGTGCGCTTCTGTCTATCTCCTCAGGGGGAATTCGCATCATTAAATTTCACAGGTAGAAAAACGTGCTATGGACCGATCAGGTTGAGGAGGGTTGTCTGGCCAATCAAACTCATCTTCTTGACCTTGGAGTGAAGTAAATCGTAAAAAAATCGTCTAGCTATAACACCCGGTGCCTAGCTGCCATGCCGCCCTAAGGAAGTACGAGGGCTGGGATACTACCAGGTTGCCCAAGCTCAGACAAGGGAAGTCGGGAGGCAGAGGTCGGGTTCGAACCACGGACCTTCCGGTCAGTAAACTCGCGCTATAACCACTGTACCATCTCGGCCCCTGGGTGGGTTGGAACCTTTCGGTTAGCAGTCGAACGCGAGGGCCGCAATTAAAGCACAATAGCAATTTAATTGCCTATCTATTGCCATTTATTACTTAGTGGAAACCAGCATTTTATTGCACGTTGGTCGAACGTGACCTTCTAATTGGTTTCGAAGGTATTGTCACTAAGGGCCTCAATCATCAGGCCAATTGTAGAATATCCTCCAGGTTGCAGATAGAGGCGGCCATGTTGGATGAACGCTTCATTTTTTACCCCAGCATGTACACCAACGAACTGAAGTAGAGCAATTATGGTATTTTATGAGAACTGTTACATCTTGGCAAGACTATTTCGCGCAGTTTCTGGCTTGTCCTATCTATCTATCATCATCATCCTCATCGACAGCATGACATCAGTGTTCAACACCGATGCTTCACTGCCGTACAGGTTGTACGTGGGTTGGGATACTGTCAGTGCGCCCACACCTTGACAGACGCACTATTAGGGCCCTCAACCAAAGCCTTTGGCTCAAAAGCCTAATCGCAAGGCAGCGGTGTTTGGCGGGGAATGCAAACGCATAACATTTTCTACGGAACAAGTCGCCACATGTTCCAGCCCCCCAATTGGAGCGCCAATCCTTCTGTATTGTTGTCTCTTTTGCTTACCACGGGCTGTGTGGCCAAGTATTGTATACGCACTTGGTTACAGTCGCTTTGATTTCGTTTTTCCCTCATCTCCACTAAAGATTCACCTCTGATTAACCACAAGCGCTTGTTTGTGTGCCTGTAGTCAAAATACTGGGAGTTGGAATGGACCAACTACCCATGTTCTGGTATGACTCATTCTGAACCACACAGTCAACCCATGGAGGCTGTGGATTACGCCAAAAGTGGATTCTAAATCATGTCTGCGGTTCCAGCGTGTTGTTTATGATGCCGTTGCGTTTATTTAGGCACCAGTTCAATGCCTGGTTGCCGTACACTGTGCAAGGCGTATGATTTAGCGGAACTGAGAGAATTCGAAATGCGGGCCCATCACTGGACTGGACCAGTGGAGCCCTAGTTCACCTCACCCCTAACCCTGTACTCTGCATGAGAGAGTTGGTTTCCTTACTCCCGCCCGATCTAGGCAACACGAGTATTTAACACCCTTTCGGTGCCTAGCTGCCATACCACCCGGAAGAAGCATGAGAGATGAGATATTAATGGGTTACCCGAGTCTAGATACAACCAGTCGAGGTGCCCGGGTTCGAATCACATACCTTCCGGTCGGTAAGTCAGCGGTTCAACCTCCAATTGAACAGCCAACCTTAGGACTAAGCCCACGCCAACTAGTCTGTTCTGTTATCATTTTATCTCCGTGTGTTTTGAACCCCTGATGTTGCCCATATGTTTGTTCTATGGTCAATGGGCATCACCTCGTGTTTTACCCCAAGTCCACTTATGTCTATTTCGGTTTCTACCCCCCCCCTATCTATCCCATTGTTTTCTCAGTGAGCAATCGCAACGAAAAGGTCTCATCGTCCTGTACGACATGCGTGACACCAAGTACTCCAATTTCGATTATTACCTGTGCATCAAGCTACTCAATTTATTCAAGGTAGGTGTGCAGAAGATTTTTGCATATATATCTGCTGTTATGAAATCAATTGGGTTGTATTCGTTTACCGGCGATCGTGAGCTACCACAGTGCCGAGTCCCAATGGCTGTGCGTAAAAACGTTGGTTGTTGATCTCTGAGACTCGGTGATGCCTCTCGATTCTCACCAATACTTTTACACGAAACCATCCACAGGGCTTACATTCCAACGGAGTTAATATCTGTCATATCCATTTGGATGGAAGCAGTCGTGCACTGCGTATTTTGACCATACTTCCACTACACGCACCCACCACATGCGGTCCGAACCGATTTGGGGTTGATCTCGTTCTTGTCAGTGTTTTCACAACCAAAAGCCCGTTGTGTTTCTCTTACTCTCTGTGGATCACTTAGTAAGCTCCCATCAGTCTTGAACCCGCGATCTCCCGGCTAGTGGTCTGAGCACTTAATCGTTCGCCGTTGGAGCGGCTCAAGACTCCCTACTGGAGTTTTGTGAGACACGCATTGCTGGTGATTCCCATCAATGAAACAGCTGTACGGTCGTGCTTCTTGGCTTTTGAGTGTGGAACAGCTTCACATATACGATTAAATCTCAATTGAAAATGAAGTTGACTTGTAGTTTATGCATTAGGCAGTTGCGCTGAACCGAGTACGTCATAGAACACACGTAGTTTTGGTGTGTTTATGCCACCGTGGTTCCACGTGGGAATTCCCAATGCTTTGGTCTCTCATTCCATAAATTCAATTTCTCTGTGTGACCGATGTGGCTAGCATGGCGCATGACTACCTTTCAAATCCGTACATGCCTATTCACCAGGATGTTTACCAAATTGTGAAGCCTGCACATGACCCGATTTGAGGGACTGTCACTTGACTGTTCTGCTGCCTCGTGATTATTGGTGCGTTCTTTTTGTCAACCAACTGACTACATGATTGTACTGGTGATGGTGTGGCTTAGAATCACTGACGTTACTCTTATACCATGTGACGACCATGCTCAGATTGGCGAATCTGCAGATGGAGATTCTAGTTTCGGTAAGAAATGTTTATTTCGCAACCGAGATGGCTCAATGGTCTAACCGGAAGTTCCATGGTTCAAACCCGACCTCTGCCTCTCGACTTCCCCTGTCTAGGCTCGGGCAACCTGGCAGTATCCCAGCCATCTGGTGGCATAGCAGCTAGGCACTGAAAGGGTGTTACAGCTGAACGATTATTGATTATTATTATTTCGCAACCAGCTGATAATCCATTTCTCAGACTTATCTAGTAACGCACCAACGGTAATTCACATGACACAGCTTTGAAAAACACCATACACTTTGCTGGAAACGCCGCTTCTCATTGTCTGACTTTCCTCTGGGTACGCTTTGGCACAGAGCATTCTGCCGTCCATCTCTGCACAGCAATCCCCGAGAGAGTCCACGCGGGCCACGTGAAGTTCTACAGCACCATCAAACACGGTGTGTCGTGTGGTTTCTCTTTTTATACTCGATGCTGGTAGTGCTATTGATCCGTCTTGAACAGGCATAGAGTTACCGATAACTATTAGCGAGCATGGGCTGGGGAGTATCATAAGCTGTTCAGCTAGGTGCGTTGAGTACAAAGGTCACGAATTAGTCGAAAGGCGCAATGAATGAATGTAATGAATTTAAGGAACAAATACAAATGTTGAGCCGTCTCTGTACCTCCATGCATTCAAACTAATACGTGACATCCTTTCGGTGCATAGCTGGCGTACTACTCGGAGGAAGCACGAGGGCTGCGGTGATGCCAGTGGGTTGCCCAGATAGCAGCAACCGAAAAGCCAGGATCGGTCACTGGTCTCTCACTTTGACCGCTTTTACCCCGAGCCCAAATTAGGCACATTGGTTACAAAATAACCTTGTCACGTACATCCATATGCAGCTGGCTCCTCCGTACAGATTCAGAAATCTGAGGAAATGGAAAGTAGAGATACTAGAGCTATCCGCAGGTTGTTCCTGTTGGTTCGCCCAACATGTCTTTGCATGTCTCTTGTCAGTCGAACCAGCAATGGCGAACGTTTGGACTACTGAGCATTATACTTCCAGCGACAAGTTAGTTGGTTACTCGCTACTTTTAATCTGGACTCTACCGGAAACTGTAAACACGAAAGCCCCTTCAGCCTCGCAAACTTTTGAGTTGAGGATTTTCAGTTACCCGAAGAGTGAAACATAGATCATTTGAGCTCGACCCCTACCGGAGCCGATGACTCATTGGTCTAACCCACTTGGCTGAAGGAGGTTAACTTGGCCAGAAGGCGCAGGTAGTAGAGCATAACCATGGCTGTGCACAGCAGGTACCTTCTGGTTTTAAAAGCATTTCGACCGTATTGAATAATGCGCTGGCGGTCACCGTAAACCGTTGGGCGATCAGAGTATGCGGATCTTAGAGCCGGCCTTTTCTACCCCGTCCTTCCTCGGTGAAAAGCAACATCACTTCTCCCATGAATATGAGCATGATGGCTACCCGGAAGAAACGCCTATCTGCCTTCACACTTCTGTCACAAGGGACAGTATGACTTTACCTCCAGACCGCCTCGTAATACGATTTCTTGCATACGGGGATTCGCTGTTCTTCCTCGTTGGCCTTCCTGATATGGTTAATTTTTTGGGAACCGCTGGTTCCCGCCAGTATATTCCCAGAATCACTACAGCCAGATTACCATAAAGACTACAGCTTTGAGTCGGAGCACAACCAACTACCCATTTTCTGGTTACCTTTTCACGAAGCCGCTAATGCCATCCAGCATCAGCAACGCTTCTGACGTATCAGTGATCAAAAACCGGAAGGCGCCGCGCGTGATATGTCGGCAGAGGCCATGTTTCGAAACCATACAAGTGTATACTTGATTACGATTCTACCGGACCCGCTTATGTGGGTTTCGTGCTCGATACAGAGGAGGACATTGCCGTTGCTCCGTGTACTCGGAGCACCGAATTTCTTCTGATGTTCCGATTAGTCATTAAAAAGGTACATATAGGCTAATCCAGATTTTCAGATGACGTAGGGGGATCCGCAGTTCACCAAGGCCAGTTCACGCGATTGCCGTCTACATTGACTAATACCCAGATGGTACCACATCCTAGCGGCTTCGTTATTTATAGGGTACGAGGCCTTAGCGACAGTTGACTCAGCTGCGTGCATACTCGGAAAACAGTTTTTCTACCAAGAACTGATGCACTTGTATCAGTAATCGGCTGTGGTTGGCAGGTCTCCTGACCAGAAACAATGCAATTGGTCAGTTGAGGAAACGTAGACGTCGGCTGGTCCATCAGCTGACTTTTACAGACATCCGCCTACTGGCCAAAACAAGTGTGTGGTGGTTTTCGCATTCCCGAGAGCATCCTAAAATATCACAGGTTCTTTTCTGTATCAGTAATCCAGCAAACCAGTTAGCAATACAGATGTCGTGATTAATGCGGCGTTATTAGGCAGTTTGTGTCCGGCTTCTTGTTTCATCCCGATCGACACTTGTGGCAGTGGCTCTGTCAGGTGTCCATTTGAAAGTTTGATCAAAATAAATTCGAATCTTTGCTGTTATGCGTTGGCCTTCATCGTTTGGCATAATCCGCTCCACTCACTGTACTGTTTATTCGAGCTGATACGCCCCATCCCTCAAATTCTGCATCGTAATTTCAAATGCACCCTTTCTGTAAAATTCCTGTTACCGTTTTCCTTGTCATGCATTGGTCTCAAGGCTCAGGGTCGGTTTAACCACTCTTCAACTTCGTTATCTAACAAACCCCTCAGCGCGGAGTTTTCTTCTCTTTAGGGTTCCTACCCGGCCCGGTTGCGCAAGGTCATCATTATCGAAGCTCCATTCTGGTTCCGCGCACCTTTTGGCGTTCTGCGCTTGTTTGTAAAGGAGAAGATGCGGGACCGAGTAAGTCAGCTGGTGTTTTGCCACCCCAGCTTACTTCGAGTTTTCATCCAGCATCTACTAGATACCTTTTTATCGTTGATTTCCCTGATCATCATCATCATCGACAATTTTCACTAATGACGGAAGCATCAGTGGTTAGGGCACGAATTTACTGACCGGAAGGTCCGTGGTTCGAATCCAACCTCTGCCTCTCGACTTCCCTTGTCTGGGTCTTAGCAAAGTGGCAGTATCCCGGCCCTCGTGCTTCCTTCTGGTGGCATGGTAGTACCTATGAATGCGTCACTCCTTTAGAGCAAACAAAAACTCAGATTTTGTTTGGAGAGCAGACGATGTATACTGAAGTATCATGCAAAACAGTGCCTCAAGTGATGCGCAGCAAATACCGGTTTTCACTTGCAACCGGTACTGTAGCTATTGGCCCTTATGTGATGCACCGCACGCACACTAATGTAACCAGATGATGGACATCTTCGTTGACTGTTAGAGAAGGCTTGGCAAGGCACGTGATATTAACCGATGTGGGGCTTCCCATCTCTCTTAACGAATCACTGTCAACTGACCGAATCCTTCGGTCCATTATTTCAAAGTCAGTCAGTCCAGTGAGTGAGATCGCGAAATTTCATTTCAACAGTGAGGATCATACTATAGAAGTTGGTTTGTTCCTCACACTTGTCGCTTGGGTTGAAAACGCTTCGCCACCAGTCGAAAGGGCACCATCAATGTGTGGTTGATGGTACACACACTGATTCCGTTTACAACCTATTCGACAAGCCCGGCGAAAAAATCAACTTCCAGGGTACACACTCTAGCCATATTCCAGCAACACTGCCAGGATCATCGCAGTGCCCATTCCCCGTTTCGGTCTTCTATTCGAATGAAAACTTCCAAGTTGGTTCATGGTTTCAGGATCTTTGAGGCACGTCAATTTATTGCTCAGATTGATCGTGTTGTGTCTTGTAAAACCTACAAAGTCCCCTCTTCGGCCACCTACATGAACCACCGACCTGCCACGTGGGTACCATGAAAGAGCACTTTTAAGCGCTCTAACAGTTTCCTAGACTGTTAGTGTGTCCCATCGAGAAATTGTACTGCAGTATCTCGAACATCGTGGCAACTGAAATGTGACATGCTCTTTGTGCAGCACATCCAGTTGAAGAATAGCATAAACAAGAGATTCAGCTGGGTTCCAGGTGAGTCTCTCGAAAGAACCAAATTGGTATGCAAATGAGTGTATTTCTTAATTTTCGTGCAATTTGGATTCAAGTTCACGGAAAGTTGCAGAAGGCAAATTTTCGTGCAATTTGGATTCAAGTTCACCGAAAGTTGCCTACCTGATGAGCCCTAGAAGGGGGGAACCAGTTGTGGGGCCTCTGCGAATAGTGTTCAGCAACCGTGTGAATTGTGTTGCTCCTAGAAATCTTCTGGCTAACATCGAACACTGTGTGCCAGTCAAAAGAAATCTTGCTGGTTAGTTCCCAGTCTGTTTTCTAAACGCCGCCAATCTAGTAACCCCAACTTACTTGGCACGGTGAAGCTCTTGTGTCAAAAGTGAAACGTTGCCGTGCAATAAATCTCCAGATTGTTTACCAAGCACCTCTATGAAGTGTTGCAATTGACCTACACAAAAATTATAAAGCAATAAGGAGCAGTCTGCATTCATTTGCAAGTCAATTTGGTTTTCACTAGAGACTCAACTGAATCTCTGTTTTATGATATTCTACAACTGAATGTGCTGCACACAGGCCGCCTCATGCTTCATTTGGCACGATATTCGAGATATCGCAGTATATTTTCATAAAGGAAACTACTCACAAGGTTGCTGAAAACTCTGGCAGCCCACGACCGGTTTCGCCCTTATGAAAATGTACTGCGATATCTCGAATATCGTGCCAACGGAAACATGAGGCGGTGTGTGTGCAGCACATTCAGTTGTAGAATATCATAAACGAGAGATTCAGTTGCGTCTCTCGTGAAAACCAAATTGATTTGCAAATGAGTGTATTTCTCGACAACGGTCCAACTTAGGTTCAAGTAGAACATAAGATTGGCGGAAACTCGGGGACTGCTCCTACTTGATGAGCCTTAAGAAGGACGAAACCGGTCGTGGGCTGTCGAAGAGTTTTCAGCAAACCTGTGAGTAGTTTCCTGTGAAAAGAGGCAGTCTAGATTGGTGTGCAAATGGAGACTTCTGTGAATAAATGTTTCGAAACGACGGGTAGATGAACTTTTCGCGAGAAAAAACGGCATCGCGGACGGGGATGGTCAGCGACGGATTTCACTATTGATATTCGGAGGAAAACCACCTCTTTTGAACTTGTTGCACTGCAAGAAACAGGTTCGCTGTAGACTTTTTTCTTACCGGATGTCAAACCCTTCGTGCTCCTCTGCACACTAATTTAATCTATGCCTACAGCAGGTTAGGGGACGAGATGGCCCAAGTGGTTAGAGCGCGAATTTACTGACCGGAAGTTCCGCCGTTCGAACCCGACTTCCGCCACTCGCATTNCATTCGAACCCGACTTCCGCCACTCGACTTCTCCTGTCTAGGCTTGGGCAACCTGGCAGTATCCCAGCCCTCCTGCTTCCTTCGGGTGGCATGGCAGTTAGGCACCGAAAGGATGCTACAGCTGAACGATTTTTTTACAGTAGGTTACTATTCTTATTTCTCCTCTGATCAGTGAGCTCCAGTAAACATGTGGTCCTACACTGAATGGCAGACGTCCATTCGAAGTTTTTCCTGAACTGATTTCGCCAAAGTTCAGATTATGTTTCCTTCTAGTGCCCTCAATTCACTGTATGACCAAGTTTCGTTTTGATTGGTTTGCCATAGTTGTGCAACTTCAAAGCCGCTGTTTATGCGGTTAGTTACCATTCCACTTGGACGACGCAACCATTGCACACTTGGTTCTCCTTTTTTCCTGATAGTTTTTATCCCATCTTTTTCTTGCCATTAGATTTTTACGGTCGACCTTGACGAACTTCATGTGCATTTATCCCCATCATTGATCGAATCCTGGTTTCAACAGCTGACCGAGCATCGGCATTTTGACTGGCTAAGAGAATGTCTCACCAAGACCGGACATGTGTCTCAAATACCCAACGACTATTTCACTATCCCACCGCCAATTTATCGTAGCCTCAGTTCCTCAGGCTCCGATCTCTTGCAATCTGACGGCTTCTCTCGGTCCAGTCTTGGCAATTCCCGCTACAGTTCACTCCGCTACTCTCGTCCCATCTATAGCCTCCGTCAGACTTCCGAACCACAGTCCGTTTTTGTGGATCCTTATGGAAGTCTGTCACACAACAACCCAGATCCTGTTGTTGCCAACGGGCCTCTCTCTCGGCGTGAACATGGCAGCCTCAATAGAATGCTTACATCCATGTACAGCAGCACTGTTCAAAGCCCCACCCGTTCCTACCATAGTTCCCTGAACAACGACGTGATCCTCTCACCGTTCGAGCTTCGTCAGCGCTCCCTTAGGGTTCCCAAGTCACGCATCCGCAATAACAACTGTCTGCACACTACCAATTCCCTCACACTGTCCTCCAGTCCACCCCCGTGCAACCTTTTCGATGAATCCAATAAAACTGACCCGCAGTCTCAAACCAGACTCTCAGTTCCGGAGTTTATCGAACGGGTACAAACTGCCGGTCAGTTGGGTCTGTGTGCTGAATTCGATGCAATGTTCAAAGACAGGCCTATCGATGGATCATGCGATCGTTTCCTGTAAGTTACCTAACGCCCGATAGCTGGTCGATTTACCTTGAATGCTGTTGTTCATAGCCATCTTTGTTCATAACTGTTTAGGCTAACGGAAAACCGGCGACGTAATCGCTACCTAGATGTCCCCTGCTTGGATGCCACCGCGGTTGAGCTTTCGGACGGAACTTATCTGCACGCGAACTGGGTAAATGGGTATCGGATTCCACGAGCGTATATCCTTGCCCAAGGTGAGTGATCGTGTTCCCAGTGCGTTGGTCTTCACTTCACCAGCGTAGCATTTTTTGGCAAAGCGACTCGGCCCCCTCACAGAATTACGGAACACAGTGAACTTGATCCATTCACAGCTCTGATAATCATTATACACCGCGCCCATCAGGGCAGACGAGGATAGAAACCGTGGTGAAACAAAAATGACTCTGATTAGTGTGGATCATCCTGGTGGATTATAAAGCGAAATTAGCATATACGACTTCCTCGTTCGGTCAACTAAAACATGTTTACTTGACAGGAGGACGGTTACCCAGTGCAAATCCTAACGAGACAGCTCAGTGGTTAAGCTGCGAACTTACTGACGGGAAGGTCTCCGCTGCTCTTGTTTAGGCGTAGGCAACCTGTCAGTATCTCGGCCGTCATACTTCCTTCGAGTGGCCTGGCACCTACGAACCGAAAGGATGTTACAGCTGAATGATGCTATCACATACTTACAGTACTAGGCTAATAATAGAATCGCATCTGTATTCCAGTATTTCTCAACGGCTTTCCTCAGGTTGGAATAGAATTTGTCAATTAGTGTGAAGTGACAGCTATCCACTCCTCTTACACATCCATGACTAGTGGAAGAAACTCGTTCAGTCGGTGCTACCCAGAGGCAGAACTAGGGCCGAGAGACTTCCAGATTGCCCAAAGCTAGACAAGAGTAATCTAAATGCCGAAGTGCCAAGTACCCCGAGGACAGCATGTATGTAGCCCCCCCCCCCGTAAACAGAATGAAAACGGTAGTTTGTATAGAGGTAAAATATCCTAAATGAGAGTTCCAGCTGATTCTCCCATCAAAACTAAATTGGTATGCAGATGAATGTATTTCAGTAGTTCTCCGCCAATTATCAAAGGCACACTTCAATGCTTTGAACGTATTCCTAGTAGAATACTTCGGCATCCCGTATGCTACGGGCTATTCTTTCTTGTCTCCACTTAGTGGCGCTTTAGTCTGTCAAAATAGTCTTGGTTCCAATCACGAATGAGATGTCCCGGAGCTCTGGAGGGCAGTACAGTCAACCAGGCTACTGACGTTTCAAAATTCCACGTAAGGAATTTATTCTTGAATGCAATACCACATGTATTTGTGCATATCTAAGAATGAGAGACCTTATGTTCATATTGTTGCACGTGCATGTACGTAACACACTCAGAAGAACCACGCATCAATGTATACCGAACGGAATCTGCACGCAGCCGATGGTTTGATAACAGCGCGCTTAAGTCCACATCAAATTGGCTCAGCTGAGCGAAAGGTCACAAGCTGAATCCGTCGGATGTCACGTGATGTTTTTTGTCAATAATGGTACACCAACGAAGGATGGATAGTCCAGAACAAACAGCATTTCCCGTAGACGAGTTTTGCAGATTTCTCAACACCTCCTGGACAGGATTGCTTGTTCCTTATTGTCCCTTCACAGGCTCAGTCCAGTTGAACAAGTACAGCAGTCGTTCGGCTTTTTACTCCCCAGTGAAGGGCCATACATAGTATATGTATAACACTACCGCAATTTAGAACATTGACCTCGCATAAAAAAGAAAGCACTTTACTCGTGGGTATGTGATACTGGTTTCGCTAGAAGCACTCTTAAACTGAGGACGCTAATTTCTGCTGTCTTACCTGCAAGGGCCCAACCCACAGTGTCCGTAATGTTCTCTTTCTCTCGTTCCAAACTGTCAAGGTCCTCTGGACACTACACGGCGCGAGTTTTGGATGGCCGTGTGGGAGCATCGAGTCCCCGTGATTGTTATGCTTACCAAGTGAGTTAGTTCCCTTGTCTGTCGGTGTTTTCCGTGCATGTTGGCAGCTCCTCCACTTGTCTATCGGCTTTTATTGTTGTCCTCATTTAAAACACTTTGTTCAATTAGTGACCGATGGCGTCGGCCAGGCGCTCATGCCATCCAAGTTGGATTTAGAACTTTCTGTCGAATTGGCGGCTTCAGACTCGCTTCTAATAACGCTTCTCTAGAAAAGATGACAGCTGTGAAGTTGCTAGCTTTACAGAACGGCTTTTCGTAACTACTTACAGAATATAAGTAGCTTAGTCAAAAGTACCCTTTAGATTAAGTGGCGCTTTGTATCATGGGGTCAATTTGATCACACACGCACACAGCTACTCATGTCTAAAGTTCGGGGAACTCCAATTCCCTGACAAAAACTGCTTGTTGAGTTCTGCAGGTGCACCTTGCTGACGACTCCTGACAAGGTTGTATGCTCCTTGTTCGACGCTGTGCCTAACCACCCATCGCGCACCTTACTTGTCCTTAACCGTCGCGAAGATGCTGCACCCTGCCATGGTGGTGCCCTGCTTTAACTATATTGTTGGAACTCTTTTTTGAACTAAAGCGAGGGAGATATGGTTGATCAGTCGTTTCACCTTTATTCCCGTATAGCCCGTATAGCTATAAACAGTCATAACATGCCTATCAGTTTGCATGAGGTGTATCTAAGAGAATCCAGTCAGATTCCGGTCAAACGGGAGCCGTTCTGGTCACTTCTTTACAATGTATCAGATGCTTACGTGGCACTGCACACACCACCGATCCATGGTCTCCGTTTTTCGCACAATATCGCATGACCTTTGATTAACATAATTCTTGCCCTGTGTTCCGACCGAAAGTTTAGTCAAGTCAGGAAAAGCCAAGTGCAACCGCATTCTACAGTCGCTGTGGAATGTTTGTTGCAAACCGATTGCAAGGTCAAACCGCGAATCATATGCAGTAAGGTCTTGTCAGCAATATGGAAACTTCCGGCTATCACCACTAATACTGATGACACTTACCTGGAACACGAAGGCCCAAATGCTGTAACGCGAGCACCTCAGGATCATAAATCTAGTAGAGACACTAATTCCTCAAGTATGCCCTCTGTTCCACAAACACGGCAAGGCCGCAACACCTTTGTGGTCATTTGGGATGGCGACGGAATCCCTTCAATGTCACTACCGTATTTTCCACACACACACACACACAAAATGTAATCCTGACACTGATTTGTTCCTCCCCGCAACAGAGTTGTGGAAAATCACCGCGTCAAATGTGCTCCCTACTGGCCCACCCGTACGTCCGTAGTGTCCACAAGCTCTTCCTCCAACCACACCTACTCTTCGCATCGACATTCACTATTGAATCACACATCTGCCTGCTCACCTGACGCTTCTCAAGATCGTCTTCCACCTACTTCGTGCTATGGTGATGTGCAGCTAGTCAACTTGTCCAAATCCATGGAACCGAATGGCCTGTCTCATCATACCCGACTGGAATTGCGACGAAAGCCATCTAGTCAAACAAACGATCGACGAGGGGCCAAACAAAGTGACTCTGTCCCTAAGGTCAGTTGTGTGCAATAGCAGTACCTCCGAATGAATCCCAAGGGCTGGTCGTCTTGGTTTTTTTGCCGCTCTTGTCGTATTTTCTGTCGCCAGTAATGTGTGCATTTTTTATCCCTGAGATGTAATGAACTATTCTGCCGTATATATATATATATATATATATATATATATATATATATATATAGCGGTTGAAAGTAAGGTGCCAAGTCTGCTGTCCAAGCGGCACCTGTATAGCAGTTTTCCTTTGTGAGTGGACAGTATGATCCAAAATGAAATGACCCTCTCATCTGGGAAGGCGTGAGAATTGGCCTATTCGAGCAGCGGAACTGAGACGTCTTCAGGTGTTCGACAATCGTTATCTCAGAACGATAGCTTGCATGGGTTGATGTCGGCGAATCCTTAGCGAGGAAGTTAGAAAGTGCGTTTTCGGTTGTGCGACGGGTACTTCCATTGAAGAATGTGTCCAGCACGAGAAGCTGCGTTGGTTGGGACATGTGTTACGTATGCCAAACCATCGTTTGCCGAAGAGAGTACTGTTTTCCATGCCCAACTCAGAGTGGCGTAAACAGAGGCGTGGTCAACCCTTGACTTGGCAGAGGAGTATGAAGGAGATCACGAAACGCTTGGGTGCTGTCGGTGCTACTCGCCTTCCAGGATGGGGACCGCGTGATCCTCACTGTGCCTGGTTGGAGACACTACAAGATATGGCTGCCAACCGATGTCAGTGGCGTTCCTGTTGTCAGTTTCTATCCAGATTGCCTGAGTGAATGTCTGGAGGTGTAGGCACCTCGGAATGATTGTGTTAAGCTAGCACCAAGTCGCTCCCCTGTCCAGCTTTACTCTTTTCTTTACAATAGGGCTTTCAAATAGGTCATGGTTGTACGGCATTGAAGCATCGGTGTTGAACACTGATGTCATGCTGTCGATGATGATGATCTGGGAAGCTGTAATATACTGTTAGCAAGCACTAGAGACCTAGGCAAAGGTGCGAAAGCCACAGAACGTGGAACCTTACACGTCACTTTCGTGATTTCGTCGAATCACCATTTCCTTCCAATGGAATCAAGTCTACCAGTATGCTTGCTCAAAAGACAGGCATAAACTTCCCAGTTTGGATGTTCACCACATGCATTGAGGATCGAATACAATACACGCAGTGACAGTAAATCACCTTGTCTGATTCATGCTGACGGTACGCCGTGAACTCACTTTTCCAAAGCAGTTGGTGGCTAGGGTACCCGCATGCGAAGCAGACTAATGGCAAACTAGTTCGATGTTAACGTGAGACTCAACTGATTGTATGTTCCATCAAGAAATAATAATATCTCGAATATCGTACCAAGTGTAACATGAAGCGACCTTAGTGCGGCACATTCATTTGAAGGGTGTCGTAAACAAGAGTTTCACGGGCTGTCAATGTTTTACTTTGAGGTAGTCCTGCGAAGATTTATCAAAATCCAATGAAAATCCGCTATCGGTTTCGTCCTGCTCAGGATTCATCAGGTTACTTGTGTTCGATCCCCACGGCCTTTAACGCACTCCAGAACCGATGGAGAATCCCTGTTTGCCTGCTGACGACCATTCAAGGTCTTTCCTTGAATTCTTTGAATTCATGCTCATTTCTGGTGGCTGTGCTTTTCCCGTGAGTCCAAATCAATGGGTCCGGGCCATCTGAGACGCACTGTGCAGTCGTTTTGCGCTTATCCGGAAAACGTTTATCGGTTTACAGAGTGCTTAGACAGCACAGGGTTCTTCGGTTGCGGATGTTCGTCGGACGGGTGTAATTAGCAGTTGACTTTGATTAATTTAGTCTGCATTAGAACTAAACAGCAATGCATATCCCTCCAGCCACGCTGCTTGTTTTTCGAACTAATTTTGCGCTTCATATGACTGCTGTCTGGCTTAAGCCCCCTCTACTTAGTCGCGCATTTTGTTACTGCAGCATGATGGCTTTGTCTTTCGATGTAGTTGAGCTGTCATGACATCAAACTCACTCACTAAGGCTCTCTTTTTTGTTTTCATCTCTAGTTTACCCCAGAAAACGTAACCACTAGGTCAGTTACAATATTGTTCCATTAGTGGTGGGATAGTTTCTGTACTTGTAGAGCCTGTGGATTCACACCAATCTCTAATTGGGACAGTCCCTTGCTGATCTAACAGTCCACACCAACGCTCATCGGTTGTAAATTTCCTTCACTAGGCCGCGGGGTTGAACTCCGGTCATCTGACGTGTGGAGGGAGCCGGTTACCACCACCAGGTGACGCCAAACGTGAAAATGTTTGTTTGTTTACATGTGATAATTCGGTGTCTCGCATGTCAGATGTGCGGAGTTCGAATCCCAGCAAGCTGTGTTACAATGAGGGTCTCCTGCGCTTCCCTTCTTTGTTTGGGAGCAACCAGAATAATTGCGCCAGGACGAAAGTAGGACTGTTCATAATAGAACGATCTAAATACAATTTCGATTTTATCATGGGTGTGTGAATGCATTAATTAACATCAATTTCTTATTAACTATACCGTACCGCATGGTTTTGGTATGCATCACCCCCGACCTGAGTTACAAATACTGAGGAATTGAGTGAGCTTTGGAAAACTTTCCATGATATTTCGGTCTAGTTAATGATGATACTGTTTGGTCCCACACAGGTAGGTGCATCTTCCACAAACGAGTCAGACAAACCCTTCGAGGTGGACCACTTTCTCTACCTCGGATGGCCTGATTTCGATGTTCCCACCGACTCAACTGGTTTTCTAAACTTCATGGACCAAGTCAAAAAGTTACACGAAAAACGATGCCAGCAGGAGTTGGGCCCAACCGAATCGTCTTTGCAACCTGGGTCCAAAACGCACCATCCATTGTTGGTTCACTGTAGCGCTGGAATCGGGAGAACAGGTGGGTTAACCTAATGATTCCGTCCTCTATTTATGCGTTGTTAACGTGACCCAGTTAGGAGACAGGTGGATACAACTAGGGATACGCGTTTCAACATCCAGGTTAGTCTCTCTTCAAATGAAGCTTATAAACTAACATTTTTTGCAACCGTTAAACATCGTTCTGTTCTTTTTTGTCGTTGTCAACAGGAACATTTGTGACTGTGGACATCTGTCTACAACAGGCTCTTAATGAGGGATATATCGACGTTCCTCAAGTGGTCAGTCGCCTCAGATGCCAGCGCGCGGGAGCTGTTCAAGTTGCAAAACAATATGCATTCATTCATTCTGCTTTGGTTTCTTCGCTATCCAAGCTGTGCAACGGCACTAGTCCCTCCACCGTTACCATGACTGCAATGGCAAATAACATGACTTCCTGATGCATGCTCACTCCTCGCCGCTACTGGCTACTTCAGCTCATCGGTGTGCGTTTCCCCACCGGTCCAAGGCTTTTCTAGAACCTTGACAGCGTGGTTTTTACAATCGACTGCTCACACACACACACCTGTGTATCACTATAACCATCCATGTCCATCTTTCATGGGCAAGATATGGGCTCTATGACTACCGGCCCACCCCGCAGCCTAGTTACCGAGATGTGAAAACAAGATAGTTACTTTACTTATCCATGAGATCGCCACCTATACAGCTCCTGTTTTTACCTTTCTCCTGTCTTCGCACGAGGCTTTCGAAGATTGATATAATACAAATCGACAGCTATAGTCTACAGTGTCGAACTCTTTTCTTCACTGCCTACGGCGTGTTTTTTCCCTATCCAGATTATCTTGAGTTATTTATTGTTCTCTTTTGTGCATTGATCTGAGTTTACAGCCATACTCTCTTTGGTTGATGTACCTACAAGATATACCTTCCTTTTTTGAGCACTGACATGTGTTCATACTAGGCCAACCACCCACTTCAGTCCATTCTAATAAACTGCGTTTAATATAATCCCCGTCGCCACTGTTCATTGCTTGCTTGTGGCATTTGATGGTACTTTAAATTTACCGAATATGCAAACGGTTGTATTTTTGTTGCTTCTTGGACAGTCAACTTGATACCGTGAGATCGTTGTTTGTCTTTGTAAATTGGATGTGTGCACGTCTCTTGTATTGCCCCGTCGCCAGTGCTTGATTGTCGTAGTACCACCTTTGGTGATGTGCAAAGTTTTGACTTTTGTCAGGATCAGGGGGAATAATCACCCACCGAGAGGCAGCTGTGGATTGGCTGGAGATGAGATTACTCCTCGAATCGGGCAGGCCAGGCAGCTTTTGCCAACCTCCGTCACCTATGTCGCCAACGTGACGTGAACTTGTCTGTCAAGGGAAGAATTTACTCTGCAGCGATGCGATCCATGCTGCTTGATGGATCAGAGACGTGACCCCTACGCGCAGAGGACATACGGAAGATGTCAGTATTTGATCATCGGTGTCTCCACAGCAATGGTCATCGGTGCGAACATCGGATAGGCAATGCTGAGGTACGCCAGATGGTCTTAGGAAGAAGGAACCCTCCCGTGATGGATGAATTGCTCACGCTTCATAGGCTGCGCTGGCTGGGACATGTAGTCCGCATGTCAGAAGACCGTCTGCCTCGCTGAGCTCGTTTCTCCCAGCCCTGTGCTGGATGGGAGCGACCGAGAGGTGGACAGGCAACGAAGTACAAAAACACTAACCAGTTAACTTAGTCGGGTGGGCAACTGCTGCCTCCCTGGATGGGAACTCCGGGGAATCAAATCACTAGTTGCTAATGACATTGGCGGAAATGACCCAATCGCAAAGTCCGTGGCCCTCATGCATCAAATCTATCGCCTTCAATGCGTAGCTACCCAATTTCCGAACAAACTGAGCATGCCTTCGCATCCAAGGTTTGGTTGTATGTTCCAGGTTCCCGTTTCCCGGTGATCGAAAGTGTAGCAGCTGCAACCAATGTGCATATGGCACACGGTTTATAGCTGATATTGTTTTTCAGCACATATCGAATCTTGGCTTTCCACTAAATTACAGTGAATGATTATTTCCACGAAAAGGTCGCTATCCTGGGCCATGGCGTCCCGAACACGTTACAGCTTGTCGTGGTGCCACTTATCTACCGATCGCTTCCACCAACCCGTACTGAGAGGTGCACATGGCTTCTTCCACCAGGATTTTCGACGAATAGGCAAATGGTTTCCTATTTCTCTAAGTACGGGATGGGTTCCTAAAGACCGAACCAGTTTTGATCTCAGGCACTAGAAGAAAACCAAAATCATTCTGTTTAGGCCATCATAAATGCGGGGAACTTCACGTATAAGGCAGTCTCCCGACAAGCGACTTTTCATATTCGTTCCTTCCCAGAGGGGACTAGATGATCCCATTATGTCTATCTTTTCAAGATGAGTTTCCACAGTTCGGTTAAATACTCTGCCATCTGAGCCATCTCCTGGCAAGCTTGTGGCGGAAATCCGGTTTCCAGCGTTCTCCTCGGTATCTGCCATCACTGCTCTCAGCGATTTACTTATCGTCGGCATTGCTCAAATAGTCCACGAGCGCCACAGAGGACTCCTCGAGAAACGCTGGGTTAGTTAAACATCGTCCCCCGTTGGTCGCTCGTCTTTGAATCATTGCCCAAAAATTAGACCTTTGACAGACAAGTTGCCACATACATCCGACCTTTTAGACGCATGTATCACAGGCGGCGAGTGAGGACTGCACATCCCATCAAGTGAAGTGCACACCCAACTAGTGTTCACGTTACATGTGGTGAACAGGGAGGTGTACTTCAGTCAGGCACTACTCAATGGTAGCGGACCTTTTCCGTTCAGGCGATGCTGGCCTAGTCTGACCAGTAACAAAACAGCCGTAATGGGGTTTCTTAATAAAATTGATAGTTTGCCTGTGTTTACGCCGGCGCTGGTCACAAATAGCCGATGGTTCCACTAAACACCATAACACGACGCGCTAGTGTTCGTATGAACCGCCGTTTCCGGCTAGGCACTCATCTTTGCTTGTTTTGGCTGCACCCGTACTGTGTACGTTCGCTTGCTTAAAGTGGTGCACCCTGTAGGACGTTCGTGAGTTCCATTAGTCTTATAAGTGGCATAAACAAGACAGTCGTCTTGGACGTTCGATATTGTCGGCTTTATGAAACATCCTGTCTATGGGAGCTGCGCAATCAAAGCGGTCGACATGCAGGCCCATTTCCGAGGCTTACTGGACAAGTTATTTGCGTCCGAGGTCAGTTCGTACGTACACCGAATCCGTACTAGAGGTATTATCAACCGAGTTATCAACGAGGATGTTGCGGTTCGCAATTTCGGCCTGGTTTAGACCCATGAGGAACGGAGAGGAGAGATGTCTTGACCACCATAAGTGGTCCCTCGGTTGCACGAGATTTAAGGGGGACCGCTGTTCAACTCGACACCGTCCTGTTGCTGGGCAATGATTACTTTCACTAAAGCGATTTCCGGTCCCTTGAGTACGCGCCGAGTCGAATCCTGTTGACTGGACGCCAACAAACTAACTCCCAATCGAATTTCCGAGAACCATAACATGTAAACAAATCAGATCTTGCGAGCATCATCCTCGGTCCCAGACACTATGAAAATGGCTGTTCTTCCATTTGCAAATCAGTCGTAGATTTGGTTTTGGCAAACCAATTCTTAATGTGGTGTCGAA